AAGACCTTCTAGGTCTGTGTGATCTGACTGGAATGACACTCCTTTAATCCCTCTGGATGGAATGCAGACACTCCGTTAATACCTTTAATCTCTAACAATTATGTAAGGTTAATTTGTAGAAGAAAGCACTGGTGTTTGAAAGTGATGTCTAATTGAAGGACAGACAAAGTGGTAAATCAGAGAAATATTTGACAGAATGACTCAGAGATAGGATATGTCCAACTATCGCAAGACAGGCAGTGAAGAGAGCAGTGTAGAGAGATGGAAAGTAGGAGGGGTGCAGTTTTACAAAGACAGGTTGAAGAGAGAGAACAAGCTAAACACAGGTGAAGAGATAATAAGCCAGATAATATGAAGGAGCCAGAAGATTAAAACATATTGACAGAGTTAGTTTGAGGCCAAACAGAGCAATACAGTCAGAAGCCAAGAGAAATCAGTTTGAATCAGTCACCTTAAAAAGGAGTCAGACAGCTAATTTGAACGAGCAAGCCACAATTCAGAAAGAACTAGAAAGGGTGAGTTTATTGAGCAGCAAGCCTCTGAGACAACAATTACATCTGGTGAATAAAAGTTACTTGGACAATCCTAACTGGGTTTTTGGCAACATAAGATAAAGTCATTTTGGAATCGAGGGCCTCAATTGAGGAAATGTCCCCCACCAGATTAGTCTGTTGATGTTGGCAAGCCTGTGGTGCATTTTCTTGATTGATAACTGATATGAGAGGACCTTGCTCATCATAAGTATGCAACTCTTGGGCAAAAGGCACTGTGTGCCATGAGAAAGCAGATTGAGCAAGTCATGGAAAGCAAAGCAGCACACCACCACCACCACCCCCAGCCCCTCCTTCATTTCTTGCTTCATGTGCCTGCCCTGAGTTCTTACCCTAACTTCTCTTCATGATGGTCTGTGATTCTTGTGGAGACTTACCTCCTCAAGCTGTTAGGGTTTTTGTTTTGTTTTGTTTTGTTTGTCATAATATTTCACCACAGCAATAGAAAGCCAAACTAAAACAGTAATCATTCAGTAGGGTTGAGATTGAATCTTTGAATGGTTTTAATTTACATTTGCCTGATAGCTGAGGATGTTAAACAGTTCTGAAAACATTTATTGGCCATTTGCATTTCCTTTGAGAACTGGCTGCTTGTTTCATTAGCTCATTTATCTACTGGTAGTTCTGTGGCTTGGGTATTTAAATTTTACAGTGCTTTATTTATTCTATATATCAACACCCTCCCCCTGTGTGAGTTATAGCTGACAAAGACTTTCTTCTTAATCTGTGGTATATCTTTTCCTCTACTGATAATTTTTCTTGCTGCATAGAGACTTTTAAATTTCACATAGTCTGCTTCTTGATTCATAGGACTATTCTCTGTCATTGGAGTTCTAGTAAAAAAAAAAGTCTGTGCTTGTGCCCTTAACTTCAAGTACATTCCTTATGTTTTGCTCAAAGATCTCAGATTTCAATTAAAGTCTTGGGGTGGGAGAGATGGGCAAGTTGTTAAAAACATGTTGTATTTTTACAGAAGACTCAAGTTCAGTTCCCAGTACTATGCCAAGGAGCTCACAACTGTCTGTAATTCCAGCTCCAGAAAGACCTAACATCTTCAGCCTCTTTTGGCTGTGCACTCACACACACACACACACACACACACACACACGCACACACACTCAGAGAGAGAGAGACAGAGACACAGAGAGAATTAAAAATAAAACTTGCATCTTAATCTTTGAACAGTTTGAATTGACTTTTGTATAAAGATGAAGCTGTGGATCCTAGTTGATTCTTCTGCATGAAGACACTGCCTTGTCAGTGCCATTCCTTAACTCTGCATGAAGATACTGCCTTGTCGGTGCCATTCCTTAACTAGGCTGCCATTTTGCAGTGTATATTCTTGATGTCCTTTTCAGATTTAGGTAGCCACTGTTGTGTATTTGTTAATGGGTTCTTTATCTATTTTATTGGTGTACATGTCCTTTTATGTGCCAATATCTTGCTGTCTTTTTCACTATAGTAGTCCAGGGTTGGATACTATGCTATCTTCAACAGTATTCTTTCTGTTTACAGTTGTTTTGTCTATCCATGGTCACTTGGGTTTACATTTGATTATGATTTTTTTTAGATTATTTTATAGTTCTTCAAAGAATGTCACTGGGATTTTGATGTGGATTACAGTGAATGTGCAGCTTACTTTTTATTTTTATTTTTATATGACCATTTTCACTAAATTAACTCTGCCAGTCCAGGAACATGAAAATCCTCTTTCCTATCTGGTTTGCATTTTATTTCTTTTTCAGTATTCATCACTTGCATGGTACTTTGAACTAATAACTATTGTTCACATTTCTATTGTAGTATTTTTATATAAAGATAGTTTACACAGTTCATTTATACTATAATGAACATGTATTTCTGTGTTTTGCTTTCTTCTGTTAGGTATTGTAGAGCCCTCAGTGAAATTATTGGTGAAAGGACATAAGGACAAACTTCTTGGAATGTGTCTTTTTCTGGCTTTTTAAAATCATTATTAGTACTTTTATGTTATAAAACATGCATTCAAAAATCAAGGGCCTAGAGTGATACCTCATCCTACTAATTTCCTACCTCGTAAGCATGAAAGAGTTTAATATTTCAAAGTCATGCAAAAAATCTAGGTCTCATGGCACATAGTTGTAACCTCGGTACTGGAGAGGGGGAGCCAGGAAGAACCCTAAGGTTAACTAGCCAGACAAGCTGGCCGACTTGGCAAATTCCAGACCAATGAAAGACCCTGTCTAAAGAATAAGATGGATATCAACCAAGGAATGCCGACCTACATTGTCTTCTGACCTCCAATGCTTGTGCACACACATGTACACAAACAAAACTGCACACACATGCATATAAAAACACACACAAAAAGGCTTACTCTCTTATATGTAAATTTGCAAAAGGAATCTTTTTACAATTAAAGAATAAGGTGTGTTTTGAAGTTCTGTACAAATTAAATATACGGTCTGAAATATTTTGCTTTATTCTACTTAGTATCTTCTCAATCCAATCTATAAAATGTAATTTGTAATTTACCTTTAAGGACACACTGAACATGGCTTAAGGTTATGTGCAATTCTTGAATGTCAGTTGATGTAATGACTCCTGTTAAATTTTCACTGTCCCCTTCAGGCTGCCCAGCTTTCTGCACAGTTTATCAGTGGAGAATGGGTTCCAGGATTAAGCCTCTTCTGCCTTCAGGTTGTTATTTGAGAATCACATCAGCCCATGTTCTTTTCTTTTCATTGCAAGGGCTACAACTCTGCCCCTGTACAACTTCCTCTTCATGGGAACATTTTTGATATTTGAAGAAGTCATCATTGGGCAGAGTATTGGTTCTCTCTTCATGGGAACATTAAAAAATAAAACGATCTTTACAGTTTTCTTTAGAAACCACGACCACTTATGGTTACTTACCAGCTTTTGTGATAGAATGATTCTGGAACTTTCTAAGATCTATTGTTACTTCTAAAACAATTGTTTCTAAACCTGTTTTTTTTTAAAAAAGAGAGCCACAATACTGAAGACATTCTCAGAAATTAAGAGTAATGACTACTTTTGCAGAAGGTCTATGTTCAATTCCAGCCACACACATGGCAGCTCACAACCATCCAAATTTCAGGTCCAGGCAATCTAATATCTTTTTCTGACCTGTTCAGGCACCAGGTGTACATGTGACGCACAGATATACAAGAGAACAAAACCCTCATAGACACAAAATAAAAACTGAAAAATCTTTTTAGAAATGTAAAAATAGAATCATCGAGATGGGAACGTCTGTAGCTCTTTATCTCCCCAGCTAGTGGTTCGGTGAGGTGGCCCCGCCCATTTCTGAGAAGTTCTGTCTCAGGGCAGGTTTTCATCTGCATGATTGATCTCTTGAACTGAGAAGATGGTCAAGTGGGGTCTCATGTAATGAGACTCATCTGTTTGGACATCAAAGCAAAGCTCCATTTTCAAAGGAAAGAGTCTCTAATAGACTTTGATCTCGTAGTGTAAACAGCCACGGGTTCAATGTAACCTTCCTTCTGAGAGGCCACGGGAACGCACTGCTCTCTACTGTGTGCGGCCCAAAGATAAAAGTAGCAGCTGAGTAACTGTAACACAATCAAGCTGTCCCCGCGTTGTACTTATTGGCACATCTTTCTAAGATCTATCAATTTTCATGAGATTATAATTAAGAAAATATTATACTTGGCAGAACTTTCTGATATTATCAACCAAAGGAAAAATCAAGGGGGAGCGCCCGTTGTGTAACGTGATTGCTACAAATCGTGGCTATTTGAAATATTAGTGTAAGACCCGGAAGGAGTCTCAGTGTGTTCGTGTGCTTTCCAGAAGGGAAAATTGCAAAATTAGTTTCAGGCAGTTTTGTAAGTGCGAACAGTAAATCACGAAGAATAGTTTTTGTTCCTTCTACACACAGATTTGCTTTGTCTGACCAGGAGACAAAAAAAAAAAAAAAAAAAAAAAAAAAAAAAAAAACTCTTAAAAACCAATAGCTGGTTAGGTGCCGTGTCTCCACGCGACAGCAGATGGCAGTATCGATGCATCAAAATTTCACTTAAGTTTTTTGTTGTTTTTCAGTGTGTGCGGAGGTGGGGGTGGGGAGTCCTGTTATCTGTTGAGTGTTTAAATTTAGGCGACATCTGAATTTAGAATTTATAATGAAATTTTATAATTTGAATTTTCATAGCATTCTTTTCTCCATATGTACTCTTCATTGTTCTCTTCAGACCTTGACAAGATTATCGTGTTTTAACACAAGACCAACAGAAGCTTGTTTCTAACTTTTCCCCAAATACTTATTAGGCGTTTGAGTAAATGAGTGCTAAGAACATACTCTGCCTAGCTAGTGCTCTGGAAAGACGGAAATTTCAAACTCCATACTTCTGTTTCTTGATCTTTGTTAGTGGTTACATCTTTGTAGAACTTTGCTAAGTACCAATGAGAGATCCCATCTCCTTTCAGATTCCCGGAACTTCTTCTGTGGTTCAGAGAAAATGGAAGCAGCCGCAGCCGGTTTCTCAGCCCCGGGGCTCAGGACTGCAGAGCAAGGCCCGGATAAGCACTGTTGCTGCTGAGATAAAGCAGATCCGAGCACGAAGGAAAACAGCCCGGATGCTCATGGTGGTACTTCTGGTCTTTGCAATTTGCTATCTACCAATCAGCATCCTCAATGTGCTAAAGAGGTAAAACACGTGCATTTATTTAAAAATGAAGCAGCTTGGCATTTTAATTAAGAACTCTTTTCTTTCTAAACAGACAAAACCCTCTCTCCCTAGGCACTTTGTCTGGCCAATCAGCTCAGCTGTTTGTGCTGATGGAGTTCTTTGAGCACTTAAGGCAATACTAATGGTCAAGCACAGTCTGGAAATACACTCTTTCAGTCTCAGTTGAATGGCAGATAAAACGGTTGTTTTCCTAACCTTCTGATGTTGACTGCTAAGGCTTGGATGTGAAAGTATTTTAATAAAAATTGTTTCAATAACTAATTTCATAAGTAAATAAAAGTCAATTGTACTTCTAAATTATTTTGGAAAAGAGTAAATGAGCTTTACAAAACTTTTTTTCTCAAATATATAAACAACCATATTTTTCCGGTGAGCGCAAGTACATAGACAAAACTCTGAAGTTGAAATGATTTTGACCAGTGATGTGAACAGCAGATGCTGAGATGCAAGTCCAGCACAGTACGTGAATAGCCAGCTTTCGTGGGAAACATCAAAGCTCTTACACATACACTGGTCCCAAGGCAGCCTTATTTCTGTTTATAAGAGGTTTTGAATTTAGCCTGAAATTGCTCATGTCCTTTTTCCTAAAGTCAGAGTCAATATCATATTCCTCACAGCTGGGGACCTGGGAGACAGGTAAGTTTAGCCAAAGTCAGACAAAAAGTGGTATAAACCAGCTGCGAAGATCTCTCCTCTTTGGCCTTTGTTTTGATTCTTTAAAGGCTTCCTCAATGACGAAGTAGAAAATGAACGATTGTTCAGAAAGAATATAGCCTTGAATGTTTAAAGGTTTTTGAAAACTCCTGTTCTTGAAATATGTGTTCATTCACATGTTTACCCTCTGCTTCAGCCATGGTCCCCTCTCATTTTCTTCCTTGCGGAAATCTTACACAAATGTATTAAGTGTGTAGCTAGTTTGCTAGTTTTCCACTATTAAGAATTCTATAAACCAGGCAGTCCCTCTAGCAGAAGAGAATCCAGTGGTGGGTAACTTCCAGGGTGGGGCGGTGCCTAAGGAGGATTTCCTCTTCTCCTCAGGGAAGGTGAAGGGGTAGCAAGGACAGGAGCTTGTAAGGGTGGGACTTCCGGGATGAGATGCCATCCAGATGTAAAATGAACAAATAAATTAATTTTAAAAAGGTACCATAAACATGAATGATACTGAATAGATTCATCCCTCCTTTCCCCTGCTCTCCTTCCCCCTCCTCTCCCTCCCCTTCTTCCTCCTTTCTGTAATTTTCTCTCCTCCTCCTTCATCTTTTCCTCCTCCTCTTCTTCCTCCTCCTCTTCTTTCCTTCTCCCCTTCTTTCTTTACCAATCCAGATCAAATATTTTGAAAATGGATTTAGCATTTTGTAAGATGCACATTTGGATTTCTAATGTCTGCACTCGCACCTCTTCCTCTAGTTATTTCCAGATGCCCTCTTGTCAGTGATATTCATCTTATTATTCTGAATTAAATAGTTTCCTTTTTCAGGGTGGGAAAGAAATCTAGGTATAATTTAAAACTCTTTTTAACGTTTTTGAGCAATCTGTGTCTTTGTACCCCCACACACAAACATTTTACAATAATTTTGAAAATGTTTTTACTGAAGACAGCTTTTTAAAAGGAGAAGGAAAGAAGAGGAGGGATAAAGGAGGGATGAGTCTAGTCAGTATCATTCATGTTTATGGTGTCCATGGATGGGTCTGAATTTGGGGCAGTTGTTGTTTGGCCATTCCCTCTATCTCTGCTCTAGCTTTGTCACTGTACTTCTTGTAGGCAGGACACATTTTGAGTCAAAAGTTTTGCGGGTGGGTGGCTGTCCTTACCCCTCTTCTGAGAGTCTTGCCTAGCTACAGGAAGTGACCACTTCGGGATTCCTATCCCCTACTGCTAGGAGTCTCAGCTAGAGTCACCCCCATAGACCCTCTGGGGCCATTCCCCATCCCTGGTGTCTGACATGCTCCTCCCACACACACCACTGATTGCCTTCTCTTTCCCCCTACACTTGACACCCCGCCCCCTCCCTCCCTATTCCCTCTTTCAATGTGATTTTTATTGGCCTAATATTTCAGAGATTTTGAGCCAGCAACTGCATCTTATTGTATATTTAATTTGTCTACGTTCTTTCACTCTGTTTTATTTGTGAATTTCTATTATGTTTGTTTGTGAACTTCTACCACTCTATAGAGCATCACTTCTTCCCTGAAATTGATTTCTATTGTGTACCTTCTCATTAGAAAAATATAAGACATAAATCACATAAGCAGGGTTGGGACCTCCAAGAAGGAACACAATGTCTCTTCATCCTAGGACTTACTGAGTAGTTACTGAATATAATCATCAAATAATACAAAAGATAAATGGGAATTTCTAAGAATAAAATATAATGAGTTAGTTTTCTTTTCTTTTTAGTGGTGTGTGTGTGTGTGTGTGTATGTGTGTGTGTGTGTGACGGCTGTTGTACACATATTATAGCATAGGTTAGAGGGAAAGAGGAAACCGTCTTTATGAGGGTGGGTTCTGGCTTTCCGAGTCTTTTGAAGCTCTTGTTTAATCAGCTGTGCTGTATGCCCTGGGCCAGCTGGCCTGGGAGCTTCCAGGAGAGTCTCCTGTCTCCATCTCCTAGCTCACAATATGATTGCTAGGATTACAGATGTATGCTATTCTATCAGGATTTGTTAGTGTTCCGACAATCTGAACTCAGGTCATCAAGTCTTCGTAGGACTTGCTTCTGCCCACTGTCCAGTCTCCCCACACCAAAGAACGCAAAATGTAAAACGCCTTTAAGGCAGACAGCAAGATTGGTCAGTGAGTAAGACACTCGTAATGCAGTCTGCAGACTTCTGAGACCCGCCTGGTGGAAGGAGGTGGGAATCAATTCTTGACAGTTATTCTCTGAACTTCACACATGTGCTCTGCCTGATGCCCACAGCCCAGAAAATCAATGGTAAAATTGCTTTAAAACGGACTTTAAGGATACTATAATGCATTTTCTTTTAGTTTAACATAATTAATATATGAAAACTTGAAACTCATGTAGACTCTTACCCACTGAAAACCAGTTATTGCCCGCACACATTGAAGGCTCATTTCGACAAGGCTGGGATCATTGAAGTTGACGATAACGCATTGATCTGTGCACAGGTGAAAGTTGGGAGAATCTAACAGTGCGACTTTGGAGTGCTAATTAAAATATGTGCAGTGGGGCTGCTAGATGGCTCAGTGGTGACGAACACTCATTGCCCTTTCAGAGGACCGTGGTTCGATTCTCAGCATCCACTTGGAAGCTCATTGCCATCTAGTTAAAGGAAATCCAGTACCCTCTTCTTACCTCTGTGGGTACCTGGTGTGTTCACACTTGGTACCCAGACCTGTAGGCATACCACCCATACGCTTAAACAAGCAAATAAACAAATGAAAACATGTACATGGTGGAATACCAACAGGTTACTCAGTCACATTCAGAAACAAAATAACAGAAGGGAAATGTTCATCTTCTTTCTTCTTGACAAGAGATTTGCATTTCCTGATTGCAAGACACAGAGACTTTTTCTCTGACCTAGGGTTTCTAATAGGTACAAGAAACCATTCTAAAGAGGCTGTGCTGTCAGTGTCTTTGCAGAGGACAAGGTCAGGCTATTTCTGTGATGTTTTTAATTCAATCCTTTAAGACTCTTGATTTTCTGTTTCTTTTCCTACAGAGTATTTGGGATGTTCACACACACTGAAGACAGAGAGACTGTCTACGCTTGGTTCACTTTTTCACACTGGCTTGTATATGCCAATAGTGCTGCAAATCCAATTATTTACAATTTTCTTAGTGGTAAGTATTCATCGTTTCTTTGTTGAGCCTCTACCCAAGGGTGGAACTGCTAGAACTGCCCTGGAACAGTTCTGAAGTAGATACAGAACTTAGTTTCTATTTGAGCTTGGTTTGTCCCTGAATAGATTTCTGTAGAATGTCTTCATTTTGAAAGTGAATATATACCATCTAGCTCGTCAGAGAAAATGATCTAATCTTTTTCATTGGAAAACTTAAAATAAATGTTAAAGGGATAATTGGCATCTTGCATGCCTTATATCAAACTTATGATTGAAACACACACACACACACACACACACACACACACGAATATACTCTAAGATATGATCTCATCTACCCTATTTCTTCCTTCCAAATTCTTCTCATGATCTGGCAAACATATACTTATCAATTACATGTTTGTTTTATTTATAGAATTGCCCATAAATTATAGGGGAGGGCCATCTACCAGCACTTGGAAAACCAACAAGTAGCTGAATCAGAATTGTGCTGTGATTAGCCACATCTTTGTACTGTTTTATTCCCAAATGCGTGACTATTTGTTTCTTATTTTCATTTCTAACAAAACAGTCATTTTATTTGTACGTTTTGTTGTATTCATTTTTAAATTTTTGTTACATATTTAATAAACAGTGCTTGTCTTCCAAGTTCATATTGTTATTTATTTATTTATTTATTTGGTTTGCTTGATTTTCTTAAGTACTTAGAACAGCCAGACAGGGATAGACTTTCTAGAAAGATAACTACAAATAGAAGTTTCTATTATAGATCTCAAAATTTAAAAAACAGAAAAGGATTTTAAATGTTTCTACCATCAAATATTTTCATTCATTTAATTCCATTCAAGCCTTGAAAATTATATACATTTACAAAAATATATCGTGGTAGTCTAGAAATGTAATTTCTATAATATTATGAATTAAAAAGTTATAATTAATAAAAAGAAAAAAGCACAACCAATTTTATTTCTGTAAAGGGATTTTGTCACTTTTGAAATAATCATTGCACTCCGACTAGTGCTCTGACCTTACACTAAGTAGGTGAGACCCAGAAGGAAATGGGGAGGCAAGTGTTTGAAATAGAAGGCACAGAGCAAGGCAGAGTCCTGGTCTGAGGTCAAGAATAGTTAGGGAGACCACTGACAGACCCTGGTGTGTGCCTGCTATTGTCCTAGGCCTGTGAACAATCACCTCACCAGCCTAGTGCAAAGGGTGACCTAGGCACAAAGAGAAGGAAGAACAGTTTCCTGTCTTGCCCTTTGCTCTCTAATAATGGCAATCATTTCGTTTTTTCAACTGCCTGGAATCGCATTTATAGTTTAAAGATAACTATCTCCTCTTCCATTTTCTTTATTTACTTAATTTGCCATACTTGGATTATGAAACATTTTTTCATAAATATTTCAGTGTATTTTTTTCTTGTTTTGTTGAACACTTATGATTCCAACGTCCTTAGAATATAATGTATCTGTGTTCTTGCTTATACAGAAGGTAGATTTCATTGCTTTTTGAAGCCATTGAAAGTCTAGGCAAACTTTTCCTAAGAGCCATTTGGTATTATTACAGGGTTAAAAACTAACTTGAGAAACACAGTGGGGGTTGACTTTAAAGAAAGAAAACAAATGCCAAGTATTACATATGAAATACTTCATCTTTTAATTTCCTTTTTCTATTTCCTTTACTGATGCAAAATGCTCCACCTCACTGTTACCTTGGCTCAAGGGAACGACTCATTTGTATCCTGTGCATTAGGTGTTGAGCTCTTTATGCATAGTTCACTTTTCTTTCATTCTTTCTGGTCTGCCAGGAAAATTTCGAGAGGAATTTAAAGCTGCCTTTTCTTGTTGTCTTGGGGTTCATCATCGCCAAGGAGATCGCCTCGCCAGGGGATGTACGAGCACAGAGAGCAGGAAGTCCCTGACCACGCAGATCAGCAACTTTGATAATGTATCAAAACTCTCAGAGCACGTGGTGCTCACCAGCATAAGCACACTCCCAGAAGCCAACGGGGCAGGACCGCTTCAAAACTGGTAGAATATTTATTGCTATGATGAGGATACCCGACTCAAACTGTTCTTTTATACAAACTCTGTGAACGGAAGTTTTAGTATCCAGTTGATCTAAACCTAAAATTACTTGTCAATGCATTTTTTTTAATAGATCATTCTTTGGAAATAAACAAATTTGAAGTATTTCCTGAACCATTTACTCAAACGTGTTATAAGTTTAAATTCGGCTGAATTTAGTTTCAAGCTATTTTTTCTTAATTCTATGTACTGAAGTTTGTGGCAATTAAGGGTTTGAACATTTTTAATTCTTTCTATAACCCTTTGTTATTTTAATTTAACCATATAAATTGATTGCTAAAAATCACCCAAAATTAATCATTTCCTTTCAGCATATAAAGGAAGTAACAATTATTAATTCTTAGTTAACAACAAGCATAATTAGTTCACTTAATTTAAAAAGCATTACAAAAGCTATCATTACAATGTGCTACCTGGGAGAATACTAATTAAAAGCATATAATTTATATATATATTCAAAGTATACTTTTCCAAATCACATAAAATATATACGATTAAACTTAGTTTTCCACTGATTTTATTTTTCATTTACTAAATGTTCTCAGGATTATAACCTTACAATATCTAAGATTTTTGTGTGTGTTTGTGTAATACAGAATCAAAATGACTGAATTAAAGTAAAAAATTTGTAGCAACTACTATACACAATCATTTTCATCTCTAGGGAAGGATTTAAGATTTAACTTAAGAGATAAAAATTAGATTATTCTCCTAGTTAAGGATAATGAGTTAGTCACCCTTGCTGGATTAAGAATGTGACTCTGTGCTAGGTAATAAGTAAAGCAAAGAGGTTACGGACAGGGCTCAGGAAGGGCTGTACTCTAGGTCTGGGATAAGGATAAATGGCCGAGCATTTCCCTAGCAGTTTACACGAGGCTTGGGCTCAGTCCTCATCACTGAAAATGAACAACAAAAAATAAATGAACCAAGGCTTACTGTAGTCTAGTGAGAGAGGAAGGCTGAAGATTGTCAAGCATGGCAGAGAATTCACACAACCAAAGACAGTGGTCCCCACCACAACACTGGCAGGACTGTTACAACCCTCCCCCTCCCCCATTTAATTATATTACACTCTCTGTGTTACTAATTTCAGCATGCCTGAGGCTAAGAGCCTGGAAGCTAGGAAAGTGGTAAGCTGGCTCCTAATTCATATACAAATAGAAATATATACTCTAGAGTATATTTTGCATAAATTTAAATTATGGAATTGAAATGATCATTTCAAACTCGTTCTTTGCAAAATTCTGATGATGTAAGTATCCACTTCTAAATTAAGAATTTGAAAGTGTACCTATTAAATTGTTCTTCATCTCATAGGGTAGTAGTAGTGTGCAGGCACTCTGATTATAAAGAAACAGTACATATTTAATACTTGAGAGAGATTTTATTTGGAAGTACCTATATTGTCATTTTGCCTTTTCCCCAACTCTTTATTCTCAGAGAAAAATAACACAACAAAATTATCCATACTTTCTTTTCAAGAGTTTAGGGTTTTGTTACCATGTGCCTTTTAGTATTCCAAGCCAGGACTACCCTCTGCTATGAGGTTTATCAAAATTATATGGCTGAATATCATGATGTCCTATATCTATGAACACAATCACTTTCAATGTCTCCTTTCTCCCTTTTGAGAACTTTATCGTATACTACATGCAAGGAGAGCTGTAGTTTTCTGATCATGATGACAGTTAGCACTTTAAGATTTGAAGTTATCTTCAAATCTTCTTGGTAATAAGCCTTAATAGCCTTGCAGCTCACTAAGCATGATATAATGATTTTCTCCAATATAATTGAGTTCATTAACTCTAAAGCTGTGAGACAGTATTAGATCCCAAGATGATAGTTCATGTTATATAAATAAGAAGAGAGGCCTTAAGAGGGAAAGAATGGAGAGAGATGGAGAGAGACATGGGGAGAGGAGAGAAGAGGAGAGAGAGAGAGAGAGAGAGAGAGAGAGAGAGAGAGAGAGAGAGAGAGATGGTATTGGCTTCAGAAGTCTGAATTTCTGTGTTCTAAGTTAGTGATTCTCAGTGCAGTGTGGTCCCTGCAACTCCCACATTTAGCAGAAGTTAGTATTAAACATGTATCCTAAACTTACTGAACCTGAATCTATTGGGTTTGGTACCCAGGAATGTAGGCACTTACAAATCCTATGGGTGATTATGAAGCACATTAGCACTGAGAACCTCTGTTCTAAATGGGGTCTCCTGGCCTCAATTTATTAGCCCATGTGAAATAAAGTCTTTTACTGCACAGGTATCTACAACAGGGAGTACCATCTTCACTCCTGTCCACCTGGCTGGAGGTCTGAGAGAAGAGGCCTGAGCATCCGTATGGAATCTCACCCATGTCTTCTCAAAGAGATAACGGTTTACAAAACAATTGCCACTGTGTTCTTAGTGTGACGTTAAAAAAGATGGACTTTGAGGCACTTACGCGCTTTATACATGACCCGGATGACTTGAGTTTTTATTTACTAAAGTTTCTGTTTTGTGGAAGCCATTCATGTTCAAGAATGATTGTTGCCTGGAAGAAAACTGATAAATAAAATGCGTACATAAATGATGTGATGAGGATGGAATCATGAAGCGTATATATACTTCTCACCATTAGGACCCATGAATCCTGAGAGATTTGGATTAAAAACTAAAACAGGAGACCCCCAAACATAGAAATGGTGTTGGGGTGCTTAACTACTTACTTCATTGTGTGCTAACAATGCAAATGAGAAGACTTCATAGGAAAATTTTCTTTTGGAACTGAGCTATGCTGAACATTGGACATTGACCTACCTTTATTCCCTTTGTATTTCAAGCCTTCGATGTGAGATGTCAACATCATTAATTTTGTTGCTAATAAGGTGGTGTAATAATTTTGCCAAATATATTTGAGATGAATGAATTTTTATAATATCATGAAAGCCAGGTTTGTGTGAAAGAGAAAAAAATATGAGTTCTAAGTTTTCCACAATGTGGAATAATTAAATAGTTATAAACTGTTGATAAGTTCAGTGCAAAAGTGTTAGGCATAGTAATACCCAATTTCACCTCAGTGTACATTGATTAATCCAGGAAGAATAATTATCTATGTTTATAAGTGACAATCTGAATGTGTCTAGAGTTGTTACTAAGCATAACAGAAATGAGGGCTACTAGCACTTTGATACAATGTAACAATATCAGGTTTGCATTAGCTGTGAATCATAGCAGGAATTAACTGCATTTCAAGAAACATGGCTAGTCCTTACAATTAGAAACCTTTCAGTGAAACTTAACTTTGAACAGCTCGCTCTTCTACTTCATGATATGGGCAAAAGCATAAATTCCATTAGATTCTTTTCAAATAATTTCCATATTGCTTGAAGCAAAACAATGGGATTTTAGGGTCATTATATAAGTAGAAAAGCATTCATTTACAATCCTTTTTATTACTTTATGCACAGAAGAATACAACAGAAACATGAAAAGCACTATTCGTTCTCAAAGTTCAAAGGGAATGCTTTTTACACTCTTCTGCTATTGAAAAGGAAGAGAAAAGACTTCTCTAACTTGCCACGTATTTCTATTCTTTTAAATTTTCTTTATAGACTTTGGAGTTATGAAATATGTTGTTGTTATTGTATCCATGTATGTCTGTATCAGCATGCCAGTTGCTCAATAATTATTTATTTAAAATAATTATATCTTTATGCTTGATTGTACTGTGTCTTCATGAGAATCTTTTTCATATAAAAAATGTGATTATATGTCTCCCAGTGTGAAGATTGAATTATGTAATTTTTAAGTAAAATATCTCTGAGAAGTTCATAATCACATCCACGTTGTCCTGCTGTCCTATGTGAAGAATTATGATGTTGTTCAATACATAAATTGGATATTTGCTCATAATTATTGTCAAATCTTTGCAGTTAAGGATTAAATTAACCCTGGTGCAGTACTTGATGACCAAAATATTTTTCCAATAAGTTTATATAACCAGGAATAATTATGATATAAAAGATATTTAATATTATTTCTAAGAGGAGGTACTATTATAAAGGTTAATATTAAACACACAGCTAATTCATAAAAGTTATATAAAACCACTCATTTATAGAAGTAAAAATCAAAGCTTTTATCTGAGTCAGAATTTTCCTCTGCTTGTGACTTAGAATAGTAACCCCCTTAGTTTACAAATGATTATCATAGTCTGCAAGTGTATGAGTTAGCCTTCTCTAAAATATTAAACTTTTAAACTATACCTTTAGTTGGCTCTTTTTGTTTTATCAAGCTGATTATCAAGGACTTCAGAATCTAGTGTAAATAATTTAAATTCTTAAAATCAGTTCTTATTAGAACATTTTATTCTATTTGCAAAGGTAAACATTTGACCCATAAGGAGGTATAACTAAAGATTATTTGGCTTTCCTGGAGGAAAAGAGACATTTTGCAATAAAGTTCAAAGAGGAGGTTCTCAGTGATGAGAATGTTGAGGGAGTAATCCACAGTCACTTGCTAGGCACCTACCTACCTCCCATTCCAGCCAATAGCCATCCAATAGGAGTGTAACAGAGGAGAACTTGTTGAGGCATTCTCTGGTTCTGTCCTCTTCGTCTGATTCTGCTTGTTTACCTGTTCCACTTTTCTCCAAATTAACCTTCCTTGTTTCCCGAAGTGAGCAAGTAACACGTTCCAGAGCAAATGAGTCTAAACTCAAGAAAAAAGAGAAAGAAATAAGAAGAGGCATTTCACAATTTATACCCAAGAAATAAACTTGGAACTATTAGTATGTCCATGATAGGACCAACAGACATCTGTGCATATGTCCAGAAAAGACATAGCAGCATCTTCTGTTCATTCTATTTTTAGATATTTGAGGAATCTCCATACAAATACTTACATTGGTGGCACCAGTTTACATTCATATCAGAAGAGAAAGAGAATTACCACTTTCCTATATCCCTGCTAAGATTTGCTGTTTGTTTTCTTGGTGGTAGAAATTCTAATTGGATAAGATATCAAAGTAGTTTTCATCTGTATTTCTCTCATGGCTAATGATATGAACACTTTTTAAAATATCTATTGGTCATTTGTGTTTCTTCTTTTGATAACTGGAGGGTGTGTTTTGGTAGTGTTCATTTTTTGCTGAGACATATGTGTGTGTACATATATATGCATATGATGACATCATATTTATATACATATGTATCTAAATTGCCAGTCAAATTTATAATTGAGATAATTTTTCTCTGTTTCTGTCCCTTATTTTGGTGGTTGGTTATTTTCTTTGCTGTACAGAAGATTTGAATTCTCTAAAGTCCCACTTATCTGTTCTAAGAAGTCCTTGTTCATGTTTATAGCATGAAATGTTTGCCCTCTTTTGCTCTAGAAATGTCAGAGTTAGAGGATTTGGGCTAAGCTGTTTTATCCATTACAGAATTTGTTCAGGATGAGATATATAGAGATAATTTCCACATAAATACCCATTGTCACAGCAGCATTTTGTAAAGAAGTTTTCTTTTTTTCAGTATCCTATTGACACATCACTTTTCTTCTTTTCTGGATGTAAGCAGTGACTCCATTGGGTCTTGCCATTCTCTTTATGTTGTGACATTTAATCGCCTGTCCTATTGCCTATTGTGAACCCATTTGAGCTGTTTACATCCTTTTGATTTAATTTCAGGAGGGCAGATGTGTTTAGAGATTTATCCATTTCTTTCTGATTTTTCTTTTTTAAGGTGATATAAATAGGTTTGCAAGATAATTCCTCTTTAATGAATCTTGGAACTTTACTAGAGACTGTTAGAGCAATTCTCTTCATTTCTAATCTTTTCTATTTTGATCCTTTCTCTTGTTTTGTGATTAGTATCCTTAGGGGTTTGTCAAATTCATTTATCTCTTCAAATAATTAACTCCTGGAAAGTTTCTATGAGTTGTTCATTTGGTTTCCGTTTCATTACAACTTCCCGCAGTCTTTACTATTTCTTGCTGTCCGTTGTGTTTATAGCAGGCTTGTTGCTGTCTTCTGGGGCCACGTGACACATCATTAGCATATTTGATTCATGTCTTTCTGACTTTCTAATGGCAGTACTTACAGTTGGCAACTTTCTGTGTAGAACTGCATAAGCCACATCTCAGACACCTGAGGAAGTTATACCATTATTTTCTATGTTTTTACGATTTTGAGAATGTCCTCACTGGTTCTTCAATGGCCCACAGTTCTTTCTGAAGTATACTGTTTTATTTCCAGTCACTTGTGTTGCTTCTGTGTCTATTCGCTGTTTTTCTCACTGCTGTGTTGATATGAACCAACATAAAAGAATATCTTTTATTTTAACTGATTGTTCAAGAAGATTCAGTCACTCCTGGCCAGAATGAATTACAGTGTATCTACAGTCAGCAAGCAGAGAGAGGAGGACTGATGCTCAGGTTCCTTTTTCTAAATGTTTTTAATTGTTTTATGTACATGTATGTAAATATATACCATACTACCATACATGTGGTTGTCTATGGAAGAGAGGCACTAGAAGAGGGCACTGGATCTCCTGGAGCTGGAGTTAAAGGTGGTTGTGAACCACCTGATGTAGGGGTGGAACTCTGGTATCTGGGAGAGCAATAAGCACTCTTAAACATGGGACCATACTTCCAGGCCATCATTTTATCTTTTCTGTTCAGTACAGGTCCTCTGCCCACAGAATGATGCTATCCACACTGGAGTGGATCTTCCACTCTCATTTAACCTAATAAAAACCACCCTCACAGACAGCAGGGAGGGGAGCTTACAAATCTCAAGTGGGAAGGATTAACCTGGACACTGTGGGTTTTCTAATGTTGATTTCCTCTTTTATTCCTCTAGAATCTGGTAAGAGGGGTTATTTGATTCTTTTGAACTTTTAAAGACTGCTTGGCAGTCTATAATATAATTAATTTTAGGGAGGGTTCTATGAGCCATTATGAATAATGTATATTTCCTATGTGTTGGATGAAATATGCTATAAATACCTATTAAGTACAGCTGAGCTATGTTGTAAATTTTGTTTTTCAGTTTTTGAGTTTATAAGACTTATCTAATGATAAGTATGAAATGTAGAAGTCTCTGGCAATTACTATAATTATTATAGCCAGATTTAGCTGAAGTCTCAATTAGGCCTTTTAGTGTTTGTCCTATGAAAAATTAGGATCCCTGAGATTCAGTGCATAAATATTTGCATTTTTTTACTCTTTAAATATGTAGTGGTCTTCATATTTCCCTGATTATTTTTTATATCATTTCTATCAGATATTTTAATAGTCATACCAGCTTTTTCTTGGCTTCTGTTGGCTGCATCGATACTTTCCATTCCTCTCCTCTCCAACTACGTTTGTGCCTATCTGTGCCTCAAGAGGCCTACAATTCCCTTATACATTTTAGAGCATTTGCCATGGCTTCTCAAGGAGAGTGTCTGTGGCTCCCTCTTCCCATGTCTAACTGAGGTTGGAAGGATGCCTCTCTAGCCCTTTCAGTTTTTTGTTTCTTAATATTCAGGAAATTTCAACATACTCTCACCATCACATGATCTAAACTATACAGCTCTGCACCACTCTGATAACATGGCCACATTCAAGCCTTACATACAAATTCATAGAGGTTCTTCCTGCTATAAATTTTCAACTTAAAATAGTTTATTTTAAAAAATTATATATCAAAATTAAACTTCTCACCACTATCAGATGGTGTCACTTGGGGTTATAATAGCAATGGACTTCCAGGTAGGCTTTTAAAAGCTAACCATAAATACAAAAAACTCAAAGAACTTATGTCTTCTCTTTGTCATCTCAAGACCTATCTCAGAAAATTGTATCTTTAGAAAGTTTTCTATAAGGGTTAGCAATATTTTTTGAATCCATTCTAATATTAACCACAGGTATATCTGTCTTCTGTTGTAGAAGGGGTGTGTGTGTGTGTGTGTGTGTCTGTGTGTCTGTGTGTGTGTGTGTGTGTGTGTGTGTGTCTGTGTTTATACACCCTAGAAGAGTTCCTAGAGCTGGAAAGATAACAAGTAAATCTGTAGCCTGCTCTATCCCACTTTTGTAAATATAAAAAATGCCATGGCCAGTGATATGTATAATCATCTCCATTCAGCTCTTTACTGTCGTCTAATAGCTTTCTCTATTGCGCCATCTCTTTATTTGCCTCCACTTCACTCTATGTTGCTTTTTTAAGATTGCATTTGGCACTAAAATGACAGTTTGAATAAATAATAAAAGTCATTTAGAAAGCCAGGAATTTAAAAATACTAGAAAATTCAAAGAGGTATATATGCTTAAAATAATTTCATAAAATAATTTTTTATCATTTATTTATTTATTTTTCTTTTTTTCACACTCTAGATTTTATTATCGTATAAACTGCCAATAGTGATACTTTTATTTATTCTTTGCCAATTTATATCCCCCTGATCTCTCAGGGTGGAAATCAACCAAACAGAAACAAAGAGAATAATGCAAAGAATCAGCAAAGACAAAAGCTAGTCCTTTGAGAGAATCAACAAGATAGATAAACCCCTAGCCAAACTAACTAAAGGGCCCAGAGACAGTATCCAAATTAACGAAGTCAGAAATGAAAAGGGAGACATAACAACAGAAACAGAAAATTCAAAAAATCATCATATCCTACTATAAAAGCCTATACTCAACAAAACTGGAAAATATAGATGAAATAGATGATTTTCTAGACAGAAACCACATACTAAAGTTAAATCAAGAGCAGGTAAACTATCTAAACAGGCCAATATCTTATAAAGAGAGAGAAGAAGTCATTGAAAACTTCCCAACCTAAAGAAACCCAGGGCTAGAGTGGATTTAGTGCAGAGTTCTACCAGACCTTCAAAGAAGAACTGATACCAATATTCCTCAAACTAGTCCAGAAAATAGAAACAGAAGGAACAGTGCCTAATTTATTCTATGAAGCTACAATAACTCTGATACCTAAAACATACAAGGACTCAACCAAAAAAAGGGAACTTCAGACCAATCTCACTTATGAATATTGATGCAAAAATCCTCAATAAAATTCTTGCAAATCGAATCCAAGGACACATCCAAACCATCATTCACTATGATCAAGTAGGCTTCATCCCAGGGTTGCAAGGTTGGTTCAATATATGAAAACCTATTAATGTAATCCACTATATAAACAAACTCAGAGGGAAAAAATCACATGATCATCTCCTTAGAGGCAGAAAAAGCATTTGACAAAATACAGCACCCCTTCATGTTAAAATTATTGGAGAGGTCAGGAATTCAAGGCCCATACCTAAACATAATAAAAGCAATTTACTGTAAACCAACAGCCAATATCAAATTAAATGGAGAGCTACTTGAAGCTATCCCACTAAAATGGGGGCCAAGACAAGGCTGCCCA